CTTCCTCGTCTGTCTCTTGGTATCCCTTGAGCTATGGCGGCACCTTCAGAGCTATCTCCCCACTGGGTGTCTCTTTAGGTCTGCGCTCTGTTATGAAGACCCCACAGAGCTGAGAATGGGGCCCGCTGGACTGCAGCCCGGGTCACTGCCTTTAGGGTTGATGCCAACTCAAAGCGAACCTATAGGTCAGAGTCGAACCGCTCACAGGGGTTCCAAGGCTGTGCATCAAAACAGAAGCAGATGACCTCATCTCTTTCCCTGGAACCAATGGGGGGGGTGGGCGGTGGAGGAGGTCCAACTGCCAGCCTTTGATTGGCAATCGAGCCCTTTGACCACCAGGGCTCCTCCCCTGCTCCCGTATGCCCTCCCATTGCTAGGTGCCATCAGACAATCCTGATGCCTAGGGAGCCCATGTCTCACAGGGTGGAACGGCCCCACAAGGTTTCCTGGGGCTGCTAGCCAAAAGGTCAGCAGTTTGAAGCTACCCGCAGATCCTTGGGTGAAAGGTGGGGCTTTCTATTCCCGTAAAGAGCCACAGTCTCAGAGACTCATAGGGGCGGTTCTACCCTGTCCTGTATGGTGGCCGTGAGTTGGCATCGGCTCAATGGCAGGGAGGTTTATAAATCCGATCAGGAGCCCTGGTGGTGTAGTGGGTCCTCAGGTTGGGCTGCCAGCAACAGGGCCAGCAGTTCTAAACCACCTGCCAACACTTTCTACTCCCATAAAGCATGACAGTCTCGGAAAGCCACGGCGGCCCTTCTGTGCTGTCCTATAGGGTCACTGCGAGTTGGATTTGATCTGACGGCAGTGAGTTGTTTTTTAGTTTTATCTGTCAGAACAGACAGATGGCACTCTCAGCTCTGCCGTGAGCAGTGTTGGGTACAGAGTGTGGTTCACTACGGTTATGCCTTATGGTGCTCCGACCCCTGCCCCCTCCTCTGCAGCTGAGTCTGTGCACCATATCCTGCCCCCTACCCCCATTCTGGTCAAACGACAGTGTGAAGCAGCCCTCGATGCCCCAGGCACTTACTTCTCGCTCAATGAG